CAACTCATGAGTGACATCACCTGATGGTTGTGTCCTGGTGATTTAAAATCAACCCATCTAAACCTCTTGAGATACCAAAACTCTCCATATTCTGTACAGCTGTATTTCCAAGTTTAACATCAGCTGATTTTAGGCAGTGATGTCTCTGTAAATTCCCTTCATTAATGACAAGTTTGAGAATTTGCAGACTGCTGCATAAAATCTGCAGTTATTAATGTATCACCATTACACTTGTACTCAGTGGCGGCTCGTCCACAGGAGCTGCAGAGCTGCAGTCCCCACTACTCATTGCTAGATGTATGATTTCATCAACCTTACACTAAAATAATTGGAACTGACAAATATATTACACGAAAATTCTGTTGTATGTTGTTTTCAATGTATTTACAGTGGAACCTCAGTTTTCGTCTTTAATTCGTTCCAGAGAGTCTGATGAAAACCAAACTGATAAAAACTGAAGCAATATTTCCCATAAGAAATAAATTAAATCCAATTAATCCATTCCAGACACCCAAAAATATTAACAAAAATACATTTTATAGAGAATAACTATAGTTTTACATACAGAAAACAATGAGAAATAAATCTAAAGCACTAATGAAATGGATAAATAGACATTTAAATCACTTATACCTTTACTGAAGACTCTTGTTGGTGTATGGAAGACGGCGAGGAGGGGAGAGGGAGGAGTGGTTATCTCTACAACCATCACTACCACCCTCTACCACTATTGAATTCTATCATGTTTCTCGCTTTCTTTATCAAAGGGCTGGCACTCGGAACTTTCTTTGGCCCCATGGTGGCTCATTTAGCAGTCACACTCAATAAACAAGCACAAAAAGCAATGAATTATTACGAAATGTTTCAAAGACTGAGCAGGGTAATGTTCACTCGATGAGAAACAAAGCCAGACTGACTCAGAATGCATGAGTGGGATGCTTTGTGTGGGTGTGGGCAGACAGACAAGTTCAGTAAGGCGGATGAAAACTGAGGTGATGAACGAAAACTGGGACAATATTTTGACGAAAAAAGTCATCGAACACCAAATTCGACAAAAACCAAAGCAAACAAAAACTGAGGTTCCAATGTACAGTAGACCCTCGACCAACGATGGCACTGTCTAACGTTAAATCCGACTAGCGATACATTTTAACGCAAAAATTTTGCCTCGACTAGCACTAAAAAAACTTGACCAACACGATTCATTCTGTTCGAGACGCATCCACTTGTGGCCAGTGTTTACAAGTCAGCCAGCCACCATGGTCCCATCCAAACATACAATCGGAACATTTCATATTATCACAGCGTTTTTAGTGATTGCACCTGCAAAATAAGTCACCATGGGCCCCAAGAAAGCTTCTAGTGCCAACCCTACAGCAAAAAGGGCGAGAATTATGATGGATATGACGAAAGAGATTATTGCTAATTATGAATGTGGAGTGCGTGTCTCCGAGCTGGCCAGGTTGTACACAAAACCCCAATCAACCATCACTACTATTGTGGCCAAGAAAACAGCAATCAAGGAAGCTGTTCTTGCCAAGGTGCAACTATGTTTTCGAAACTGAGATCACAAGTGATAGAAGAGGTTGAGAGACTGTTATTGGTGTGGATAAACGAAAAACAGATAGCAGGAGACAGCATCTCTCAAGCGATCATATGTGAAAAGGCTAGGAAGTTGCATGACGATTTAATTAGAAAAATGCCTGCAACTAGTGGTGATGCGAGTGAATTTAAGGCCAGCAAAGGTTGGTTTGAGAGATTTAAGAATCGTAGTGGCATACACAGTGTGATAAGGCATGGTGAGGCTGCCAGTTCAGACCAAAAATCAGCTGAAAAATATGTGCAGGAATTCAAGGAGTACATAGACAGTGAAGAATTGAAACCTGAACAAGTGTTTAATTGTGACACTGACATCATTGTGAAACACTTTAGGAATGTCATAAAGGAACGGGAGGTACAGGCCTCTATGGACATATGTTGTGCGACAGGGGTCCAGTGACTCTCAAGCTGGTCCTAGTGGCATTAAGAGTAGAAGGGAAGTAACCCCGGAAAAGGACTTGACACCTCAAGTTCTAATGGAAGGGGATTTCCCTTCTAAACACTAACACCATCCATACTCTCCCCTCCTCCCATCCCATCAATCATCACCAGATCTTCAATAAAGGTAAGTGTCATGTAATTGTACATGTCTTCTTCAGTTTGTGTGTATTAAAATTAATATTTCATGTGGTAAAATTTTTTTTTTTCAATACTTTTGGGTGTCTTGCACAGATTAATTTGATTTCCATTATGTATTTCTAATGGGAAATATTAACTCAACTAACGATAATTTTGATTAACGATGAGCTCTCAGAAACGGATTAGTGTCGTTGGTCGAGGGTCCACTGTACATGTATAAGCGATTTTTTTGTTTTTGTTGAAACGGGATAAATGATTAAAAATAGAAATACAGTGGACCCCCGGTTAACGATTTTAATCCGTGCAAGAGGGGTAATTGTTATGCGAAATAATCGTTATGTGAATGAATTTTCCCCATAAGAAATAATGGAAATAAAATTAATCCGTGCAAGACACCCAAAAGTATGAAAAAAAAATTTTTACCACATGAAATATACATTTTCCCACACACAAAGAGAAGGATACATGCACAATAGTAGAGTAGTACATGCACAGTATATATTGTGCATGACTAGTCTACTAAATGAATAAATGACACTTACCTTTATTGAAGATGCAGCAATGACTGATGAGACACTGTGTCCTGGGAGTGCCTTTTCCTCCTGAGTACTGTAGGTCCTGTTTGGCATTTTCTTCCAGAACAGGCCTTATCACACTGTGTATGCCACTACGATTCTTAAATCTCTCAAACCAACCTTTGCTGCTTTAAATTCACCCAATATGAGCACTAGTTCCAGGCATTTTTCCCTGTTCACCTGGGTGTTAGTCGACTTGTGTGGTTGCATCCTGGGAGACAAGATTAAAGGACCCCAATGGAAATAAGTTAGACAGTCTTCGATGACACTGACTTTTTTGGGTTATCCTGGGTGGCAAATCCTCTGGGTTAATTGTTTCTTGGTATTCTCAATAAGCCCCACCACAACGTGCTACACAGCAGCCAAACTACAGTGCAGCACAGCAGCAGCAGCTGACAGTGCAGCAGCAGCAGCAGCTGTACCACCCAATATAGCGATGGTTGATTTGGGGTTTTTTATACAACCTGGCCAGCTCGGAGACATGCACTCCACTTTCATACTTATCAATGATCTTTTTCTTCATCTCTATTGTAATTCTCACCCTTTTCTCTCTCTCCAGGTATTTGCTGTAGGGTTGGCACTAGAAGCTTTCTTGGGGGCCCCTGGTCACTTATTTTCCAGAAAAAGCACCGAAAACACTGTAATAATACGAAATATTCCGATTGTATGCTTGGATGTTACCGCGGAGGCTGGCTGGTAAACAATGCCACCGGCGGAACATGTGAGCGTGGCTCAGGCCGCACATTGGACGCGTCTCGGACGAAAATCGGTAAGCGGGTTTTTAAGCGGTATGTGAGGCAAAATTTTTGCAATTAAAGTAAGCGGTATGCGAAATAATCGCTATGTGATGCCATCGTTATGCGGGGGTCCACTGTATAAGTATTACTGGCGTTATGAGCTGCCACTGTTTGTACTAAATGCAGGACACTTCAGTATCTCCAGATTTTTTTTTTTTCATTTCTACCTCAGGCTGTCTTCCACAAAGGTAGGGTTAACAAAAAAAAAAAGGGGGGGGGGGGAACACATCCATCATTCATTAAATCAACATCTTGCCTGAAGTGTCCTGGTATTACAATTCAGGTAATCTTCCAAACAAAACATTCCCATCCCCTTCAGAATGCAGTAGGGTATATATGTACATGTACTGTGTATAGTTCTTATGGCTTGAAGTGCTAGTGGAAACCAGTCAACTGGTCAGAGTCCTGGAGGTGGAAAGCACAATGCCTACATCCTGATAAGAGGTGTGGGGTTGTTGCAGTTCAGAGGGTCATTTGAACTGTATGTCCACACTTCAAGCAAGAAAACCACTTAATGAGTGATGGTGAATTTGTTACTTTGATAGGAGACAGCCAAGGAGTTGATATGAACTCATCCTACTGAAATATTCACATTCATGCAATCCATCACTGTCTTGCAAGAAGCATGCTGACATCACAGTTCAAATTACCCCTATGAATTGCAACATCTTCACACCTCCAGAGTGCAGGCACTACCCTTCCTACCTACTAGACTGAAGTTTGACTACCAATTTCCCTGAATCCCTTCATAAATGTTACCTTGCTCACACTCCAACAGCATGTCAAATCATAAAGTTATTTACTTTCACTCCTTCCAAAATAACATGCTCACAAAAGCCTGTTGAAGGTTCAAGTCCCTAGCACTTAAAACCTCCTTCACCACTCCCCCCCCCCCCCCCCCCCCCCAAAAAAAAAAAAAAAAAAAAAAAAACTTGTAGCAGGACGGGAGAGGTCCTAATAATGACCAGCAGAGGCAGGGCCAGAAGCTGTGACTTGACCATTGCAACCACATATATGTGAGTATACATTTTTTTTTCTGCCTCTGTACTGAATTGATAGAGCCCCTGATTATGAAATATTTCCTTAATAATGTTACCTTATATTATATACATCTCTTTCATACATTTGTTAGCTTTAACACCACAAGCATAGCTCTACTCCTGTAGCCATATAAAGTATGTGTTAATTACACATACACAGAAGCAAAACACACATACATACTTTATGTACATACTGCAGTACATTATATATACAATAATACAAATATGATGTGTGTTTGTGCGCACACATACACATACATGTGCACACACGCAACTAATGCACGTGAACATATGCACCCACACAAAAAAAAGTGTACTGTATACACAAACATACTCAGTAGCTCCTACATTCTTATTGGAACTTTACCTTCACGGCTGGGGGTTCATGAAAAAAATGGAAAGAGTCTTACCTCTCTGTTCTTCTCTTTGGTAGTCACAGGGCTGAAAAACTCCTTAATGTAGCCAACGAAGAGTAGGACTCCATAAGACAGGAAAGTGAAGAAGGCTACAAAGAGTGAGCACTCTTCTTCCTTGTGGTAATTACTCCTCTTAGAACCAGACACATTATCAAACCCTGAACTAGCAGCCCCATTTTGTTTGGTAGCTCTAATTCCATGCTGAGAATAAGAACAAAGTTTGGTTTGTCTATGAAAAGCCATTATGAAATTGGAATATGTCTTCAGTAAATGCCTATAAGGTTAAATAAATGACAAACAAAATGATTTGCCAAGCAGGGGCTTCATCTGACTTGATAAAGCCCACGTGGTAAAAAGTTGTCATTAATGAAGGCATTCATTGCATCTAAGTATTATTTACTCCAAAAGCCCTTTAATTAAAAAATATTGTACATGGATAAGGGTGACTTGGGAGAAAATTAGTAATAAATCTATATAATGCATGAGATAGACAACAAATGATATGGGAAGCCTACTGGTATTTTTGCTCATCATGGAGCTCTGTTCTAACAAAAAAAAAAAAAAATAAATAAAGGTTATCTAAAATAAATAATGTTCCCCAAAATATGGCCCACATATGAATACAAGGAAACATATAGGTCAGAGAGTATGAAAAAAAATTGATACCATACTAAATGTAAATGAGTAAATAATGAAAGATTATGAAAAAATCAACATGGTACTAAGGAAAGTGAACATAGCTCTCTAATACCCACTATATGTACCTGTCACATTGCAGAAGTTTGATTATCAAAATCAAAACTAAGCACTAAACCCACCAGGGAGCAGAAGTCTGAACAAAAGATGGATTATTTTATTACTGTACTAATACAATTTTGCATCATGACTAGGCAATGTAAAATACTGAACTAACCAAATGAGTTGTACAGTATGTCCCAGGTTTTTTTTTTTTTCATAAATTTAATGAGTTTCATTGAAAATATAATTGCATAGGTAATGTGCAATAAGCTTGCTAAATATTAAAAGTTACTTCCAGACTTTTGTAATAAACAATTTTATAATAAAAATCTGACTAAGATATATATAGTAGCTTTATCTACATCATCTCTTTTATTATGATAACATTTCTTGGGGTTAACACATGCAGATTCCTAGTAATTACAATAAACATGTAGTTAGACATTTCTAAAAATTATGGGATATTCTAGATTAAATCAAGAGCATTTTCCTTTAGTATGCCTAGTTTAATTACATGAAATATAAATTCAGGAAGGCATATGCTATAAAATGTCAGGACTGATATATACATGTTTATGGATGAGAAACAGAATGGGAAACCCATAAGGATTTGAATCCTTTCCAAGATATGTAGATTACCTAGGTTGTCATAAAATGTCACTTTTTATATTTATAATGATTACATGTAGTGGCACAGCCAAGATTTCAATGTTGGGTTTATCTTGGTTAGCCAGGATTTCATATGCTGATTTTCTTAAAATATGTTTATCAGTATTTATAGTATGTGAAATGTCTTTGGCTATTGTGTTTTTGTTGTCATTGATCAGCATAACACTGAAAATTAGCCATTAATTAAAAAATAAATAAAAAGTATTTGCATCTGGGGTAGGGTTTAACCCCTCTTCAATTCTTTCTATGGCTGCACCAATGTCTATATGGAATTTGTAACTGAGGCATGCAAACTTAAATACAAAATTTTCTCATGTACAGTATAGACAGCCTCTCCTCACTTAATGACAGAGTTCCGTTCCTAAGACCACATCATTAAATGAATTCGTCGCTAAGTGAGGAGCATACGAGTCTGTGTCAACCATCTCTGATATTGTTTTCATGTCACCTTTGCACCATTTATAACATTTCTGGTATATTTTTAAATGTTTATACAGTAGTGTATTGCATACTGAAATAAACAGAATATAGGAAATCAGCTCTAATATACATTATTTAGGTATGAATACTGGTCAGAGAGCCCGTCGTAAGTCCGAAGCGTCAGTAAACGAGTACATGTACGTCTGTCGCTAAGTGAGGAGAGGCTGTACTGTATCTTTGTGTAGTATGCCTGAAGGGTGTTCCGGGGGTCAACGCCACCTTGGCCCGGTCCAGACCTTGCATTGGATCAAGGCCTGATCAGCCAGGCTGTTAAAGCCAGCTGCACGCAAACCAACGCAGCTCAATTGCTAGCACAATCAGTTCACACACTGAGGTTTGTGGTTCGACCCCTGGTACATGTGGAAACATCAGGATGTGTTTCCTTAAGACACCTGCTGTCCCTGTTCACCTAGCAGTGTTATTATTACTGTATAATCAAGGGGGTAGCGCTAAACCCGTAGGATTATACAGCGACTGTGGGGGGATGTGGAAGGTATTCAGGTTTAATTCAGGGAACTGGAGCACAGATCCAACTCCCTAGATCAAGAGCCCCTCACCAGCATCTAGGAACCTTCCTTGAGGGGTCACCTAGCAGTAGATGGGTACCTGGGTGCTTGCCAATTTGTGTGGGTAGCATCCTGGGGACAAAACTAACCTAATTTGCCTGAAATACTCTGCATAACAAGGGGCTTTCTATATAGTAGCATGTCATTTATGTTAGTTAGGCCTGCATACTTGGTACATGTAATTGTAAAAATAAAGATATTATTATTATTATGATCCATAGCTCAGCTGGTCAGGTACTGACTTTAGATGCCTGTCCAGCTCCCTCTTGAAGACAGCCAGGGGTCTACTGGTAATCCCCCCTATGTATGCTGTGAGACAGCTGAAGTTTTGGGCCCCTTGCACTTACTGTGTTGTCTCTTAGGTGTCAAATAGCTCAATCGCTAGAGCACTCAGTTCACACACCGAGGTTTGGGGATCTAATTCCCGGTATGGCTGGAAAAATATTAGGATGTTTCCATAAGACACCTGCTCATCCATCAGTAAAATGGGTACCTAGATGTTAGTTGACTGGTGTAGGTCACATCCTGGGACAAAAAGTAACCTAATTTGCCTGAAATGCTCTGTATAGCAAGAGTAGTATGTCACTGATGTCAACTAGCCCTGTATACTTTATATATGTACTTTGTAGAAATAAAGATATTATATTATTATTATTCAAGGAACCCCTGCTTTTCACTGGGGATGCTGTACCTTCTGCTGAGTCTTATTTCTTTTTGCAGTACAAAAAAATGTAGTTTACATTTAATAAAACAGTGATAGGCACAAAAGAAAGCCAGTAGTATTTAAAGCATTTCAGGCAAAATAATCCTAATGTTTCAAGACTACTATTAGTAGGATTTGTTATGTAGTTAACTACAATCATATGTACAATAAGAAAGGAAGCCAATTCAGCCAAGCAGCTGTTCTCCAAATTGACTAACCATTTTTGTGACACAGTATTAGCAAAAATAGTATTTCTGTAAATAGCACATTTATTTTGGTTGTGGAGCATGTCTGAAATAACAGACATTTAGTAGCCATTATTACATTCATAAGGGAGCACTAAACCTGCAGGGGTCACACAGCACCTGGGATTGGAAGGCATTTAGGGTTGATTCGAGGAATTAGATTATAATAAAAAAAAAAAGCACTAAGCCACAAGGGCCGAGGAATTGGAACATTGGTCCAATTCCTTATAAGTAGAGTCGTGTCATATGCCTGACCAAATGTTAACAAAGTACTGATGCCAGAGTATGGTAAAGTTACAGTAGGTTACTTTAGGTTAAGTCAAGCGAATTTCATTAGGTGGGGTTACTTTTTAGGCTATTTTAGGGAAAGTCAAGTGGGATTTGTTAGGTTTGGTTACTTTTTTATCACTTGGACAGCAAAATATTTCGACTGTAATAAGAAAAAAATTAATATTGCAAAATTCAAACTATAATGGTTCCATATTTTTACCCTTATTCCGTAGTGTACACAGTATGTTTTATACATTAATACCAGAGTTCCGTCTAGTAGTAAGTTTAGTCATTAAGTACATCCTAATACATCGTTATTAATACCACGAGCAATGTGTGATGCCCATGACCTTCCATGAATGATACTGGGAATACAAATTTATCTTGTACCTAAGTAATAATAACGGCACCTGTACTTTCACCTTAGTAATACTGTCTGCATGACCTGTACATTATAGAATGGCAGAAATTAGTCATTATTCGTTGTGAATGATCATAATATATATGACACGCAGCATCACTGCTACACTGAGAAAATGAGGTCATAATTCCGTAATTGTTATCGCACTTTTAGTTGTATTTATGCTTGAAACTGGTGATTATTATGCGGAAATTGGGTGCGGTAGTTCGGCTGGATGTCGTAACCCACTTTGAACCTATAGTTTAAACACGAAACTTGGACGCGGAAATTCTAACCTGCTGATGAGTGTTTCCTTGGTCATTTCCTGCGTTATTGCCGGCTATTTTCTCGTTATTACATTCTACAAATTGCGTGTTATTTATGATTTTGTGATGAGAAACTTGAGCGGGGAACTCGGTGTGTGCCACCATGTTTTGGTATCTGGTTGGGCTGCTTGCATGAGCCGCCCGTCTTTCATACTATTGGCTGATCTGAATGACCCGCTTCTCCCCGCCCAATCACCAACAAAATCTAGTTTCCATGTATGAAAATTAATTTTAACATTTTAATACTATAATTTGATCAAATTATATAAAAAACACGAATTATTTGGCAGAAGTTATGACGTGGGTGGTGTGTGTATTTGTTATTTTAATGAAGAGACAGCACATGCTGTGTGTTGTGACATACCGAGGACAATCGCACAGTGCAGCTGGTCAGGCTCAGTCACACAGCAGTGCTCTGTGTGGAGGTGTTACACAGAGCCGTGTGTTGTGTGCCTGCTTCTAAACTTGACACTTTTACTCTCCACGGACGATATACTAAGTTTTGGTGACATTGTGTTCGTTTGTGTGATCATAAGGCATAGATATGTCAGAGTTTGACAAGTTTTCAAATATGCCCAAGGCAGATCCTACCGACCCCACCCCAAACCAGGATCCTTTTTCAACTGGATCGAATAGAGATTCCTTGAATCTAGATGACTTTGAGAAGGTGGACGCAGACCAGCTGCCGCCTCCTTCAAACCAGATTGCTGGTACTACTTCAGCTGTCATCGATAACATTATATCTCAAGTGTCAAGCACAGGACACGACCTCTTCTCCAACTTTCCAAGCATGCCAGGGTCAGATACCAAGCCTGGAATTCCTTCAGCATCACCTGATCCATCATCATCTACCTTGAATGATCCCTTCAAACTCGAATCTGCGACGGACCCTTCCAGTAAAGAAGCTGTGCCCAGCAAACCCTCTGCTGATCTGGCGTCTGTCACTCCACCGCTCTCTGATTCCATCGTTGATAAGCCTTCGCAGGGTATGTCTCAGATTGATGTCCAACGCCCACTCGCAGATTTCATCGTCGACAGTTCTTCGCAGGGCACGTCTCAGACTGATGTCCAACGCCCACTCACAGATTTCATCGTCGACAGTTCTTCGCAGGGCACGTCTCAGACCGATGTCCAACGCCCACTCACAGATTTTATCGTCGACAGTACTTCGCAGGGCACGTCTCAGACCGATGTCCAACGCCCACTCTCAGATTTTATCGTCGACAGTACTTCGCAGGGTACATCTCAGGCCGACGTCCCACGCCCACTCACTGATTTCGACAATCCTTCACAGGACATGTCTCAGACTGTTCCTCGCCCACTCGCTGATTTCATTGAAGACATTCCTAATTCGTTTACGACAGTTTCATCTGACTCCTTCGGAGGGGGCTCCGTAGATCTGGCTTCTGCTCCACCACCTAGCACTGATTCTATCACTGACAAACCTTCGCAGGACATGGATTTTGATGCTTTTCAGAAGGACAAGCAATTTGATGATTTCATGAAAGACAAGCCATCGACAGGACTGTCGCAGTTGGATGATTTCATGAAAGATGAGCCTTCGACGGGCATGTCACAATTTGATGATTTCATGAAAGACAAGCCTTCGACGGGCATGTCACAATTTGATGATTTCATGAAAGACAAGCCTTCGACGGGCATGTCACAATTTGATGATTTCCAGGAAAGGCATTTCGATGATTTCCAGAACACACCTTCGCAGGGAATTTCTCAATTTGATGATTTCGAAAAGGACAAGCCTTCGGAAGGTGTGTCCCAGTTTGATTTCCTGAATGACAAACCTTCGCAGGGCATTTCCCAGTTTGATCTAATTAAGGACAAGCCTCCCCAAGGAATGTCAGAGATGGATGATTTCTTTGCTGCAGGGGACCAGAGCAGCTCATTCAGTAACTTGATGTCTGAACCTGAGGGTAAGCAACCAGTTACCGAGCCCCAGTCTGAAGATTTCTTAATTACGAAGAGCCAAGCACCGGCTATGGAGTCCATCCTAAACCCTGAATCAGCATCAGTAACCCAAGTATCGTTAACTCCGTCTGACCCTGAACCTGCCTTTAAACGCGATCCTACACCTCCACGCGAGCCCACACCACCCCGTCAGCCCACGCCCCCACCCCGTCAGCCCACGCCCCACCCCGTCAGCCCACGCCTCCACCCCGTCAGCCCACGCCTCCACCCCGTCAGCCCACGCCTCCACCCCGTCAGCCCACGCCTCCACCCCGTCAGCCCACGCCTCCACCCCGTCAGCCCACGCCTCCACCCCGTCAGCCCACGCCACCACCCCGTCAGCCCACGCCACCACCCCGTCAACCTCCACGTGAGCCAACTCCACCCAGAAAGATGAGCCCACCGCCTATGCAGGTGCAGGAGGAGGTTACATCAGCACCATTACAAGAAGCCAATATCACACAAGGAAAGATCTACAAAGTATCAGACTCCACTCGTAAATCCCTGGCTGTGTTCAACCCACGTAAGTACTGTACTACTATTCCTTAAATTCTGTTTTGCTTAGCACGGGAAGTTGGTTCGTATACATAAACTTACATTAAATCTCGTTGAACAATGGTTGTTAAAGATGATCCTTCTGTTATACGAAATGCAATATTGATTCTAAATTATGTTGAAATTATAGCGTAATTACTATATCTAGCCTAAGCGGTTAGAGAAGCACACAGCATACTAAGTATGGTAATCACTCAAAAATTAAAGTACCTGTTTTGCACCAGCTGTTGGTAAATGTTTGAACGTCACTTCTCAAAGAAAAGCTAAACCTTTGTTTCCAAATGTAGTAAACAATACATACATATAATTATTTTCTAAATATTCTTGTTTTTTTGATAATGCTGCCCGGGAAATTTATGGGTTAAAAAAATGATAGCCCATATTAAACAGCGTTTTCAGGAGCTTTTATAAAGTCCCGAGGACTGACACATTTTTGCGAAATATTGCCCAATAAAGTTTCGTTGCTAAGTCTGTTTTAGTACAGGGGACGGGGAAGAAACCGGGTTAAAGGCAGCGAGTCCTTTTGTTGGTGGCATGGGATAATGAACCATGTCGCATCAGCCAGTGAGTAGGCTGGTTGGTTAATTTCATCTGAAGCTTGACTACACCTGGGTCATTTAGGCTGCATACAACCAGTTTGTTCACCGTTAGTCAAAAGTACCTTAAACTTTCAGTATATATACGTTGACAGATGTACACCTCTCGGTGCATAGTATTTCGTTGCCCCGCTTAATGACTGATATTGTTTAAAACATGGTAAAGAGTGTTGGCCACAATTTCGTGGTTTAGTTTCTTTTTAATCGTATACTAATAATTTCCATCCCTAGAGGCCCGCTTTCCATCTCGGTCTTAATTTGCACCAACACATGCAGCCACCCATAGTTACTGGCAAGCCCTAATGGTAATTAGTATAACTAAGACATCATCCACAGTAGTATATGGGAACTTTTACCTCCTGTCAGTGGTCCCATCAAAAGGACAGCTTGTTACATTTTTAAACATGCGACGTGTCTAGTTTAATAGTAACAGGGTTTTATGACAAGGATAAGGAATGTTGCCCATACATAGTATATTAAGCAAGTAGGATGTGTTGACTCTCCAAACTTCCTCCATAAACCGCACATGCAGCATGGGGGAAATGGTGGCCACGCCCACCTTCCCGTATTTACTACCTCGTTACCTCCTGCTTTCCTTGGCCCTGTGAAAGAAACGACCGAGAGAGCACTAGGATATCACCCATGTTAGTCTTCTGTTACTGCTGTGTAAAACATCTAGCATCACTCGCTTTCCCCATACCAAGCTGATGAATATCAGTTTATAAAGGTTGGCAGAGATGAAAGGACATGACTAAGATATCTGATAAAAGTAATAGCCCATGAAGAGGATTATCAGTACTTGGTGCAGTAAATGTATCAGGAGGGTGTTCGTAGTGCTTGAAAGAATATTTAATGGTTTTCATGTCCACATTTTTTAAGCAGTATTGAAGGCTTTTTATTTATTTTTGGGTGGGGGAGGGGCACCCAACAAGTTGTGGGTGAGAGCGTAGACATAGGCTATGCCCTTGGATCGGGAATGAAGATAAGATGTGCTAACCTCTACATGTTATACCATATTGCATTACTGTTTTTAAGAGAAAAATTGTGACCAGACATGTTAGTGTTCACGCGGATTGCACTGAAAGGGGGGGGGGGTCTACTTTATGGGTGGGACAGAGTATTGGTATCTGTCCGTTTTGATGGTATCGGTAACAGTATCGCCTAATTTTGATGGTTGTTAGGTAAGACACATATGCAACAGTTAGGTATCTTCATTTCGAAACGTTTCGCCTACACAGTAGGCTTCTTCAGTCGACTGAAGAAGCCTACTGTGTAGGCGAAACGTTTCGAAATAAAGATACCTAACTGTTGCATATGTGTCTTACCTAACAACCTGTCGGTATTTTATACCATTTTAATGTTCATAATTTTGATGGTACAGGTGTCGTTCCATCCGTAATCTATTAATTCCTGACCTGTACTTTTAATCTTTTATTAGCTGCTGCATTTGATTCTTTGCCCAGTAAGCTTCCATTGCAACTAATGTTACATTGACCCTGGAGGTTCCGGGGGTCAACGCCCCTGCGGCCTGGTCCTTGATCAGGCGTCCCGGTGGAGCATCCAAGCTATTTCTGCTGTCCGCACGCAGTCCAACGTGCGAACCGCAACCTGGCTCATTGGGCAGTTACTTTAGGTATCTGTCCAGTTCATTCTTGAAGACAGCCAAGGGTGTTTTGGTAATCCCCCTGTATGTATGATGGGAGGCTGTTGAACGGTCTTGGGGGGGGGGGGGGCAGACAGTGTTTTCTTAGTGTACTCGAGACACCCCTGCTTTTCCTTGGTTATGTTGCACGATCTACAGTCTTTCGCTTTCATAGGGAATGATTTGTGTGCAGATTTGGGACCGGTCTCTTTGGTTTTCCAGGTATAGATTATGATGCATCTTTCTAGCCTGCGTTCCAGGGAGTACAAGTCAATGGACTTCAAACGTTCCTAGTAATCAAGGTGCTTGACTGAACTTGTACGTGCAATGAAGGTTCTCTGTACATTATCTAGTTTCACTTATCTCGAATGGGGGTTATTGTACAGCAATAATTCAGTGGTTAATCATTGTTCTGCTTCATTCATCTATATTTTGGCCCTTCGCATGTCAGTTTCCTTGTTCATTCTGTCGATGCTCCAAAGTATTTTGCACATCGTGATCCACGTCTGCCCCTTTCTCTTTCAGTGACGCGAGGTTATTTCCTCGTGGCTCATGTTCGTCAGCTCCGGGACTAGGTTGACAGTGTTCCCTTCCCTCCCCCCGTTTATTCCTCTTCTCTATACCTTGGCCAAAAAAAAAAAAAATGCTCACGAGAAAGTTAACCCGTGGGAGTCGTATAGCGTTTGAAGAAATGGAGGCAATCTTGTTTGATTCGAGGATGAGAGAATAGCTCCTTGAAGGGATATTTTGGTAAAATAAAAGCCCAGGATGGTTATGGGGCAATGCAACTCAGTAACTAATTGGCAGAGCTGTACCAGAGTTGATGAAATTCTGACCTCAAATCATGACCTGGGGTAGACTCGAGGGGGAGTACGAGGTTAGGTATGCTAGTTACATACGGTATTTGGGAACTTGGTATTTTTTATTTTTGCAAGTAAAACTTATTTACTGAAATTCCTCTAGGATGCTACCTTGATGCCGGCGAGTGGAGGCTCTTGATCTGTGGAACTGCATCGACTTCCCTTTCCTTGGATCGAACCTAATTGCTACCTATTACTCCTGACACTAAATGACCCCTAAGAGTTTAGCGCTCCATAAAAGAAATTGGTCCTGCGAGAGTAGTCTTTGGCTATTAGAGGGCTGAGAACGAGCCCCCACCATTCCTTGCCCTGGATGACCCATAAGAATTTAGCGCCTTGCATAAATATATAATATAATGCCCACACGGTGGCCCATAGTGGAAGGAATCTTGGTGTGAGGCAAACCGCTTCAGCAGGGATCAACAGGTCGCAACGCTGCATTAGAAACAGCCCTTCCCGGACATTGCTACCACTTCAAGGTGACTTGATCAAATAATTGTTGCTCCCTTTCTTTTCCTTATATCGAACCTGATTGCTTCCAATTCTGCAAGGCGCTATGTAAATCCTAAGAGTTTAGCGCACTCCCATGAAATAAATCACTACCTTCCTGTAATTAATAGTTATTGTTACCTTTGATGGATTTCGAGTTTTCTACTACGGAACACTACCCTTGGTAGGCTCGTCTGATACTTGCCTGGATAACCAGGTTGTTGCTGTTGGCGGCCTGCTGGCCCCCTACGTCTGTCATATAGCCTGGTTAATACGTCACTTGGTGGAGGTACTTATCTAATTTTCTCTTGAAGACTTGTACAGTTTGATATCTTTTAAGATCAACAGTTTGGCAACACGGATGTTGATAGTGTTCTCTTATTGTGTCCAAGGCGCCACTACTCGTCATTGGGTTTGTTTTGCATTTTCTCCCATCTCTCATTCGTAACTAGTGGTTAGGTGATAAATTTGTCGAAAATGTCCTGTACCTAGATACCGTTGTGTTGCAGTGTCTGACACTAGGTACAGAGGGCATTTCGACAACCTTATATAACCAATAGGTACGAGTGAGAAAGGCTGGATTTGAGAAGGACCTGCTTACCTTTTTGCTGCAACTAGTGGGCCTCTCCTCTTCTGTCTTCAAGCTTTCTGCAGTTCACCTTCGGCGGCATTAAGTCTCCATTCTCATGTTTACGTTGTTCCAGACTATGGAGCTGGAGGAGGAGCTTGGACATAGGTGAAATTCCACAGTCACTTAAAACAACGGATATAGCCCCGCTCCATAAAGGTGGCAGCAAAGCATTAACTAAGAACTATAGACCAATAGCTCTGACGTCCCACATCATAAAAATCTTTGAAAGAGTGCTAAGCAGCAGGATTGCAAATCACCTGGATTCCCAAAATCTGCACAATCCAGGGCAACATGGGTTCAGGGCAGGTCGCTCCTGCCTCTCACAACTACTGGATCACTATGACATGGCCTTGGATGCACTGGAAGAAAATCAGAATGCAGATGTAATATACACAGACTTTGCAAAAGCATTTGAAAAATGCGATCATGGCGTAATAGCCCATAAAATACGTGCTAAAGGAATAACTGGGAAAGTGGGGAGATGGATCTTCAACTTCCTAACAAATCGAACACAAAGAGTAGTGGTCAACAGTTAAATCGGAGGCTGCCATAGTGAAGAGCTCTGTTCCACAAGGCACAGTACTCGCCCCCATCTTATTCCTTATCCTCATATCAGACATAAACAAAGATATACACCACAGCACCGTATCATCCTTTGCGGATGATACTAGGATCTGCATGAGGCTGTCATCTGCTGAGGACGCGGTTAACCTCCAAGAAGATATAAACAAAGTTTTCCAGTGGGCAACG